GAGAATAAAGATCAAGTAGACGCAGGTATTACCTTTCATATCGAGTTTGACGAGAGTGGTGAAAACAGCAGCAGCACGGGGTGTTCCTGGTTACGTTGGATCAGCAAACACATTTTGATACCGTTACTTAAACTATGGAAAAGAAACTGATCGTGAACCCACAAGAATTTCAATCGCTGGTGGATTTTTATAAGGGGAAAACATCAGAAAGTACCCTGTTAGATAAAGCCGCACGAGTCGCAGCCGAAACTCAGATGTTACTGAGCGATCCTCACATGCAGGCAGGTTTGAAAGAGTCCATGATAAAAAAATTATTAATGCAAGAACGACAATTAACCGATGAGTTGAGACAATTACCCACAGGCGCAGGACCAGAGACGAACGAAGGCGGAGATCAGGGTAATTTATTACATACAGTGCAAGAGAATCTGCTTAAAGACTTGATTCGTTCGGTCAAAACAGTCAAAGAGCCTGCCAAAATAGTAGAAGAGTCATTAGCCACACCTTCGACTTCCAAGAAAAAGGAAGTAAAAAAGAGGTCTTTTACACCCAAGAAGTTATTTTCTACACCGGGAACTAGTACCCCTAAACCCATCACGTTTCCTTTTACTCTGAGAAGTCTCTCTGGAGGGAAAGTAGATCTTCAAAAATGGATTAATAAACTGGGTGTAGAATTACATTGGCCCGGCTATCAGTAAATGGGGCCTGGTACCAAATTAGCCATGCGTCTCAAACGCGGGGATCCGGGTATTAATCGTCTCGATAAGTTCGCCAAACAACACGATATCAATTATAGTAAAGCTAAAAATCTAGCCGATAAACACACGACTGATCGTAAAATGATTACTGGTATTCAACGATTNGAGATTCCTTTTGATGATGCTTATCCTGAAGTGATACCTGTGCGTCCTCCGGAAGCACCGCCGATTGAATCATCAGACTCGCAAGCAGATTATAATCATGTCGTTCCGCCAAGGCCTCAGGGTTCGCCGAATTTGGTACCAGTCTCTGCACCTGAGGCGCCCGATTTATCTGCCGTGCCACCACCGCAGATGCCTAATGTATCCCGAACAGAGCAACCCGCTGAAGTTACCGAGGAACCCGCCAAAGTTCAAGTTCGAAAGCGTTATCCAACTAGACTTCGTAGTAAACCAAAGCGGTTAATTGAAGAACTGTAATTAGTATTTTGGAAAGAACAGAAATGATGAACGGATGTACGGTTTTATTTTGGAAGATTGTCTAAGCACTTAGAATTGCAATATTTTCAGTTTTTTGTCGGGGAAAGCGTGTTATGTTAATTTGCTTAAGATCCCGCGGGAGTTTCGTAACCCAGAACTGTTATGAACTTATTAGCATTTTTGTTTTTAACCGCATGTGTTGTAAGTTCCTGGTCAGTTTTAGTTTAATCGTTGTGTATTAAAGGTCGTATCTTTAAAAGTTTAGAGTTGCTTTTCGAGGGAAGACACAACACGAACTGTATGTCAACTCAGGTCATAAAGATATGTGTGTAAATGTGTCTTATGGAGATATCAAGGATACACCCATGACGACGGCGTACGATTTTCTCAAAATCATATTCGACAGAGAATACGAGTTATTTTTAGATAAACTCACGCAGAAACATTCCTTAGTACATAAACCAGGGAAAGAACAACTTCAATGGGATTCCATATACAACGAGGAGGAGGGAACGATTACAGTGACATCAGAAAAGGTGGACGAGAGTGCATTTTCCTCTCGGTTGGATTTTAAATTGCATTGCCATATTTCCCTAAGGAAAGACATGTGTGATCTTTTTGGTTGGACAAAGTCCGCTCAATACAAGAGTATCAACACATTCAAAAACGGACCTAATCACGTGTCGAGGAAACGCGGTACCCAATTTGTGGAAGATCGCACAGATTCCTCACATTATTATTATAGATACGGGTTACTTGAATCCAGTTTCAAAGGGCCCGATGGTGTAGTAGCCGATTCTATCAGTTTTTTCTCGACGAGTTTACTCACACCTTCACGAATCTTAAAGAAAGCACTGATAAAAACTGTATGTCCCCTCCCACACGTTACCTCTACTCCTCCCTATGTGCACCGGTGATCATGGGTGATCAGACCACCGGTCTGTTGCGTACGTTTCAGTATCGTCCTCTATTGAGAGGGAGTTATTACTACGAACCGAAACACATGCATTCATCGCTTTGCGAAATCAACACATCGACGAGGTGGAAACGCAACTCAGCGAATCGGAAAATAATCTGGCGCAATTCACTAAAGACGGAGGAAGCACAGTGACGCTTCATTTCAGAAGAGTTAAATAATTCCTCACGAGTGTATGTGCGAGCAGTCGCATCATGGTAGGCGTGACGAGAGGTATATCCAGGGGAAAAGGTGTCACGCGGCAACAACCCCGCAAAAGCAAGAAACGAAGAAAACCCTCACTATTTAGTAAACGACGAAAAACTCAAAAGACACAAAAAGGAAGGGGTATCGAATCCGCTATTTTTAAATCAAGGGTAGCTGCCATTCCTAAAGGTATCAAGATGTTGTGTAACATCGCTAAAGGAAAACCAGTCTCTGATCGAATCAAACGCCTAGAAGGATATGATAGGAAGTATGCAGCCTACCGTAACAGTGGAGGACGCATGACTAAACTCCAATGGGCAAAAGCAAATCATGCGTAGTACGGCCAGAACCTTGTTGTATCCTGTAATCAGTGACTTATTTTCTCATGCTACAAAAAAAGATACTATGACTAGGGGGAATTTTTAAATGTAAAAATTAAAACACTGTCTTGTTAACAATAATTTTTATTGGAAAAAATAAAAAACAATGTTTAACTCACTAAAAGGTTTGCTAGTTCAAGGTCTTCATCATCTAAGCGTTGGTACCCGTATGGTAACGATCTAAATGTTCCACTATCCATGACTCGCTTATCGAATACGAGCCTATATGCTTTGATTTGTGTTTCTGTTTTTTTCATGACGGGGTCGCGGACAAAATGTAGAGGGTTCACTATTTCCGTCTTTCTTGACTCATCCAGGGGGTGACGTATTTCGTCCAGGATGTTCTGTTTCATGACTTCGTAGTTAAGTTGAGCTATTCCACGTGCGTTTAAGGAGAACCCTTTTACTTTCACGCACGATTTCCCTTGTGCGGTGACGTACCCGTAATTTTTGGCGCCAGCTGAAATAACTCTACGATCTGGTCCCCTTCGTGCAGTTCGTTCGTCATATCCCCCAAATAAACCCCCAACGCAATCTCTGTCTCGCCTGGTTCCCACTTGTACACCACCGAATCTGTATCGTAGTACAAGACCCGTTCTTTCAAAACTTCCAGTGACTCGTATAGCTTAAGGCGGGCCTGGCACGTGGTGAAGGCGGCGATAAAGACATTTGTGGCACGTCCTTTATTCGGGTCTTGATGGTCGCGTTTAGTTACCACTTCCACCAGCTCGGGGGAAAGGACTCGGATATCCTGTATCTGCTCCAAGGGGTCGTCAATGAGGTTTAGCAGAGAGGCGGGATGTGTTATTTAATGGGTTTTGGACTTGTTGCAATTTTGGCCAAATTTGCCCCAGAAGGAATTCAACACTTCTTTGGCCGTCGCTTTCCTCCCAGGGTTTTTAGCAATCATGGTGGGGTCCAGGTCGATCCCTTCGCGTTCTTTTATCTGGTGTACGTAGTGGGCTTTCTGCTCCTCCGTCTGGCACCAGGGGGGGTATCCGCTACTTTCCTGCTTGATTTTTAACCAGGTATCGACGTAAGGAGCAAAGAGACCACGACGTTTCTGCTCAAAATGCCACACCTCATGAATGCGTTTCAGTTGGTACCCCATGGCAATGGCTTTTTGACTTTCAGGAGTACACCACGTACGTTCTTCGTCCGTGTGGGGACACACGTAATTTCGTTCTTCCATAGGTTTGATGGATTCTTGCTGGACGCAGGTACGGCATAGAGGAATGGTGAGTTTAGAGGCAGAACCAATTTTCTGGCGAGAGGCAGCATAGGGTTGAAAAGATGAGTAGGAGGAAGAATATCGACTTTCATGAGGCCATAGTAGGCGTAAGGATCTTGTTTGTCGGGTTCCAAGTAAACGGTAGGATGTCCGATGGGGTATTCACCATATTTATTTACCCACGGGTATTCGGAAGTGACGTCCACTTACCGAATCTGCTCTCCTTGGGTGGGGTCTATGCGGTAATAAAGCGTGGTCGCGCCAGTTCGTCCACCAAAGAAGGCTTCACGTGGATGGAGTGGTGCGGTTAAGGAGACAGACTGGATAAAGCTGCGGAGGTCTGGGGATGATTTCTTAAGAGTTTCCCACTGACACTGCCACATTTCAACGACGGTATACCCCAATCGACGTAATGTGTCAGTTTTCTGGGCTGTCTGGCGTCGGCACGCTTCTACTGTAAGACCGGTGGAAGAGAAGGGGATCTGGTTTCTTTGCGGGAAACACTATCTGCAGCCGTGGAACAGGCACCCATGGAATTCGTAGACGGTACGAGATTGTGTATCGTATCTGTCTACACTATACACTCTTGAGCCGTGAGGAATGCTGTACTCTCCTCCCTGGCGCGCACGCTGAAGTCTCGTCCCCAGGTTTCTCTCTGTCCAGAGCAGCCATTCTAAGGCCACGTGGGAATGGTTGGGCGTGGCCCCTTCCCAGCCGTTTTCTGGTTCACTGGAGATGGAATCTGGGGAAATGACTCATTTCCGCCAATACCTATCAAAGAATACCTACCTTTTTTAAAAAAGGACGACATTATACAGCATATATTATAACTATTTTTGTTACCTGTTGCAGGCTTGGGCGATCGTCACACATTTCTCCATGGGGTCGAATTTAGCTATGGTCTTAAACTCATCTGTGAACTTGAGGCAGCCAGCTTTCAGCAATTTCACGTCGGAGCGGCAGTACGCTACCAATTCTTTCTTCAGGTCAAATGTGAGGTTCTTACTTTGTTCTTCCATGTACCAGGTTTCAAATTCAATCTTCTTTTTTTCTGACATTTCCGCGGGGTCATAATATTTCGCTGCAGGGAGTGGTCCGACGTAATTCTGATTCTCGGGGGTATTGAATTTATGGGGAAAGAATCCTTTCTTGTGCTCGGGGATGCCATAGGTACTCGAGAAAGCAGATAAGGCCATGGGGAGGAAACGCATGCTGTCCTTGTAGACGATCTTGCCCATTTGCATGCAGAGATTCTTAGTGCCGTTAGGGATGATAAATTCAAAGCGACGCTTTTCTTTCACCATCTGTTCCTGTAGAAAGACGGCACCAACATAGCGCTAACTCGCCGAAAACGCTTCAAAATGGCCACAGACGCTTGGACTCAACAAAGAAAACAACAAAGCAATAAGTTAAGCCCATTTTATTAATATAAAACAAGACATTTTTTTCTCTCTTTTAAGGCAAACCGATAACATCCCATACACTGACCTTTATGAATATAAAACGTTGCGCAACACGGTAAGAGTCACGTTCGTTTTTCTTGTAGTGAGCTTGGGCTGCCTGTGATTGGGGCACATATAATTTAAGGTCATCTGGCTGCTGGCGGAGTCGTGTGGAAATTGTGTGAAATCCTTCATGCGTTCAGCTGTTTTATCAGTGCCAACAATGTTTGAAAACAACTCGTTTAAAGTTGCTGCAACTTCATGTGGCTCCCGCATTATCTGATCATTTTCCTTAAGAACAATACGACTATTGTTCTTTTTTTGCATGAATTGATATACGGTCTAATTGTGTTCCAGAATTTTCTTTGATCTGCGTATTTCTCCATGCAAAGTGTCTTGAAGTGGGTCTGTATAGCTTTTCTTCTCATACTAACAACTCTGTTTCTTAAGGCACGATATTTTTCCCACTCAACAAGATTCCTGGATCTGTAATATCGTTTTTTCTGTTTGTCTCGGTCCCGCATGATCTTCCGAATTTCGTCTGTTATAAATACTCCAGCCGGTGACGGGCGTTTCTTGACGCTTAGGCCCGTAAGAATGACACCCGAGTCTTTAGCAAACGCGGGGACGTTAGTGAGAATAACGGCGAGGCAGGATTCCCTGTTTTTTTTACTGATCCTTGTAGGAACGTTAATAAGGCTGTCACACAAGTCCAGTAAACATTGACTCTCCTTGTGATTGTCACGTGGGTGGAGGATATCCGAAGTTAAGTCCCCGGTACAAATCACATTGTCAGAAAGGCTGTTAGCTTCATCGAGAAGATCGCCGCGGCAGAGTTCGCGTTTGAATGTGTTGTTGTCTACAGATGGAGGCTTGTAAGCGGTAATATATGCAACTGTCGTTGTCCGATTTTCATGTCAAACAACATTGATTGGACACATTTTCCTCTCAATTTCTTCCGAGAAGCGGCTATATTGTCTCTGATGTATACTGCGATGCCTCCGCCGCCCTTGACTCTGTCGCGACGATAAAAGTTAAAGCCGTCGACCTGAAATTGTGAGCTCGGGAAAGTCGAGTCAATTTTAGTTTCTTGTATGGTCAAATTGTCGAATGCATTAGTAGCTAGCCATAGTCGAACCTCATCGAACATGTTTTGCAGACTTTTAATATTGATGCAGGCAATAACACATTCTCTTCTGTGCTCGATTCTAATTTTTTTTAAAGGCTGATAGTTTCTAAAGAAACTGTTTGGGGCTGCGTCGGTGGGGGTAACGAAATAATTTGAATATATCAACAAGGTTGAAATGGTAAATTGGCCACCATTGTGATTATAAAAGCTGACGTGTCGAGCGTTAGCCCTTAGTCGGAGCGAGGGGATTCGCTCCGACGAAGGGCTAACGCTCGAAACGTCAGCTTTTATAATCATAATGGTGGCCAATTTACCATTTCAACTTTGTTGATATATTCAAATTATCTAATTTCTTTTATCTTGGCTACAACTTCTTCAGTATCGGTCGATTCATCTTCGCGTTCCTAGTCTTCGCAGTTGCTCTCGTTCGAAGTTAGTGAGCCAGTTTCGTCAAAGAAAGAGTCCGGTAGTTTAGGCAGAGAGCAGAAAGCACATGTCCATTCCAAGTTGGGATGTTGTAGGTAGTATTTAAATCCGGTAACAGTTAATTTGAGAAATTTTGCGTGGGACCAAGTATCACAAGACGAGCACAAGATGGCGTCTTGTTTCTTTCTCACTGGCTTGTTACTGTCGCCACATGGGAACTTGGGCTTACCTTTGCCTTTCGCAGGGCGGGATTCCACGATATATTGCCGCAGACGAGTAGGTCCCGTTGTATTTGGAAGGTACTTGCGCCGTTCGTGCTGTACCGAACTCTCCCAGCGAAATATCGGCCCGTTCGAGAACGACGTATAAAAGGAGCAATGACCACATGCTTTTCTAGAAAGTACGCGTCTGAAACCTTGAATCTGCGTTCTCCATGCAAATATGGAAAGATATCCTTGTATTCAAAAGTTAGGTCAGTTAATACCTGAATAATAGCGCAGAGGGCAAGAATTAAGCCAAAGTTACGAGCGCTCAACATTGCGTCCATGTTCATTGCGTCCCTAACACATGATCCGCATCGTTTACGCGGTCGTTATGCTTTCTCTGCATTTACGTACTTGTGAAGAAGCCCGATGGCTCTGGCTATTTCTGCGTCAATTTCCGGGCCTTGAACGATGTCACTAAGAAGGACTTGTATCCCTTACCGCGCATAGCTGAGAGTTTAGACACCCTTACTGGTACCCAGTACTTCTCTAGCATGGATTTAATGTCTGGTTACTGGCAAATTGAGATGGACCAAGAGTCTCGCGAGAAGACAGCCTTTGTCACACATGCCGGGTTGTTCGAGTTCAATGTCATGCCATTTGGACTTTGTAATGGCCCTAGCTGTTTCCAATGATTGATGGAGTGCGTATTTCGAGGCTTTAACTAACAGATAGCACTGATATATCTGGATGACGTACTTGTCTATTCCCGTATCTTTGAAGACCATTTGCAGAACCTCCGCCTAGTGTTTGACCGTTTCCGTTAAGCTGGTCTCAAACTCTAGCCAAAGAAGTGTCATTTTGGATAGAAGAGCGTTAAGTTCCTGGGACATGTCATTTCCAAAGATGGAATACAACCAGATCCCGACAAGATTAAAGCTATCAAGGAGTATTCAGTCCCCCCTAAAGTGAAGGATGTCCGTGCCTCCTGGGTCTGGCCAATTATTACCGGAAGTTCGTCAAAGATTTTGCCAAGATTTCTGGCCCACTAAATGACCTCACCAAGAAAGCCTTAAAGTTTCATTGGACCGATGAATGCCAAGCAGCCTTTGAACACCCTAAATCTGTTCTGATCCAGGCCCCCATTTTGGTTTACCCCGATTTCACGCTCCCCTTTGAATTCTACGTTGATGCGAGGGATGAAGCTCTTGGAATGGTCTTGGGACAAGTACAAAACGGCCCTAAAGTTGTGGTCTCGTACAGTGGCCACAAATTACTTCCCGCGGAAAAGAATTACAGTGTCAAAGAAAGAGAAGCCTTGGCTGTTATCGCAGGCATTAAGTATTTCCAGCCCTACCTCTATGGCCGTCAATTTACCATTCATACTGACCATAATGTAGTACGTTGGCTGATGAACATTTAAAAACCAACCGGGCGGCTTGCTCGTTGGGCTGTACCTACAACACGTTCCGAAGAGAGAATCGATGATAATAAACTCGACTTGTGATCTCGATTTGGCTAAGTTTTATTATCGAGTTCTCATGTCTATTCGTAGGGTACAACGCACTACAAATTACCTTCTTTCAGTACAGGGCGTTATCGATCTCTTAGAATGCGACTCCTCTCTACGCTGTTTCTACACTTATGTTATCGGCTTTAAAGCGACCTTACAATGTCAATGTCGCGACTCTTCCCCTCAAGAGAATGCCTGGTTGGCCAGTACTCACACAAGAAAAAAGCGTTCAAGCTGGTTTGGTCATGCAGGTTTGGGTGGCATCGCATGATTTTTCTATAAACTAGCTGGAGGACACTGCGGGACTAACAACTATGTAAGCCTTCTGACCACCTTACGCGAGACCGCTGGTGCAATGAGGTCCGAGCAGCTCATGATGCAGGTACAGTACGGGAAGGCAGTTCATCTGGTGAAGACTACAGCTATGTTGAGCTCCAAACTGAACTTAGTAATTCATTCTCTAAATTTGATAACCGGCGCCTATTCTGGATAGAACGATCGCTTTGCAGAATAAGCAAAGACCAAAAACTGTCACTTTGATTTGCATCAAGAATTCACATCGATCTACACAATGGAGGTAAATAAAGGTTTGATCACTTTGTTATGACTGACAGAGATTGATGACTTATTGCAACAGTTCGCACACCATTCTCGGAAAAACTTGATTAGTTTCGCCGACCTCCCTAGATTTCTAACTACCGAATTGAACATCAAACTTTCATCTGTTCCAGCCATGGCAACCCCTGTAGATGCCCTGAAAGAAGGATTCCCACTGATTATCGAGCCGTTGGTTGAGTATCAGCTCTCCAATTTTAGAAACCGGCAACTTCACCTATTGTTTACACTCCCAACATTGGACGCCAAACAAGCTATTTGCACCAGAGAACAGTTGGTCTCATTGTCGTTCCAAATTGATGGTAGATCACTTACACGGCACGATCTGGTTTTGTTGACGTATGACAACACGAGGTATGTTCTCAAACAAACTGAATTAGAACAATGCTTTAAGGGCGAGACCGCTTTTCTTTGTCGGGTCAATATGTTACCAACTCTGGAAAACCCACTTTGGTTAGGTCTCGAGTGGACACCTCAAACTCAGCTCTCTTTTAATCAAGCTCACTCTCTGCTTCCTAATTGTCATAACCTTAGGCCTCTCTTTCACCTTGGTGGACGGTATTATTTGTCCACCACTCTCAATAACACACCCCTTTAAACTAACAATGGCACCACCTCCCTATTGTTACACCCTTTTCACATTTACCATTTCCCATGTGACACTTTCCCTTGAATGCCATGTGTTTCCTTTCGTCCTTTACTTTCTTAATGATATATAACCCGGCTCACTTAAAACCGCGAACCAAAACCATCTTCCGGCAATCTTCACGATCGTACATAACCAAAACGAGAAAACAAACTGGCAACTCTGTCCATCACCGTGAAACTTGGCCGTCGGCACGCCGAACAAGGTTTGCCCTAAAACTTAACTTCACGGCCATAACTTGGACTCAACGAAAATTTTTTTCCTTACGGTATTTCGTTGTTGCACTTTCTGTAATTAATACACGATACTTCTTTTTTTGTTCTCTCGTTC